TATAAATAGATGTATTATGTTTAAAAGAGCTGATGATTCATGGTTCTTGATATCCTTTGAACCCTTTAGTGGATGTTTCACAATTGATCTAACTCGGGAAGTTTAATAGAGTAGGAAATACTTGTGTATTCTTATTTTCTTATCCTTTTTGCAACATGAGAAACATTAGGAGCTGGTGATAGCTCTGTGAGTGAAGTGTTTGCAAATAGGGACTTAGTTTGATCCTTAGAACCTTTTTTATTTTTTAAATTAAAGCCATGGGGCTGGAGAGATGGCTTAGCAATTAAGAGCACTGGCTGTTCTTGCAGAAGACCCAGGTTCAAATCCCAGCATCCACATGGTATCTTAACAACTGTCTGTAACTCCAGTTCCAGAGGATCTGATGCCCTCTTCTGTCTTCTGTGGGCACTGCATGACATAGGTGCACACATGCAGGCATAACACTCATACACATAAAAAAATAAAATTTTAAATAAAAAAAAAATTAAAACCATGTGTAATGTGAGCACTTGTAGTCCCAGCACTAGGGAGGCAGAGACAGGCAAATCCCTGTGTATCGGTGAGCTAGCCTAACATGCTTGGTGAGTTCCAGACCAGTGAGGGACCCTGTCTTTAAAAAAGTAAAGGTATGCCAGGCATGGTGGCGCATGCCTTTAATCCCTCCCACTTGGGAGGCAGAGGCAGGCAGATCTCTGTGAGTTCAAGGCCAGCCTGGTCTACATAAGGAGTTTCAGGCCAGCTGGGGCTACAGGGAGACCCTGTCTCAAAAAGATTTTTATTTAAAAAAGTAAAGGTAGAGAGATAAATAATGTCTAGCTAGTTTAAAAAAAAAAAAAAACAGAGGGAACCATATTGGTCCAACAACCTACTGACAAATTATACATACAACTAGTTCAAGGAACAAAGTATATGTCTAGTCAAGGTTTATCTGGGAAAATTTGGTTTTTGCCCAAGCTTTATCTACATAACACATGGTAATTAAAAGTACCAGATTGATGGAAGTAACCATCTTGGATGTTTAACAGCCATACTTTGAGGCCTATACTAATCTGGTCAGAGGGGCTTAAAGGACAATTTTCCCCTTGCCCTCCAAAGCCAACTAAGTTCCAGGGGACTATGGAGCATCTCTCAAAATGTCCTGTAACTGTGGTAAGTCACCTGTCCTCTTGACCAAGGAGGCCATGGAGACCCCACCAGATGGACTTGAACCAGTATCCAGTCTACAAAGAGTAGTGTCAACACAGAGGAAACATTTCCTCCATGCTTCCAAGCGAAGCCAGCCACAGTAGAGCAGGACCTTTGACTTATCTTCACATAGATGGAACTGATAAAAGAAAGGAGCCAGGGGCTCCTCCAAAGCCCATGTGACCCCCGAGGAACAGATCCTCAAACAACCATAAGAGTAAAAATAAATTGGTTTATTTGGGTCATCTGTATGATCTTAAACACCCAAAAGGAAAGTATAACCAAAGATTAAAGTATATTTCTTTAAGAGTCCATGCGTATAGCTAAAGGCTACAAAACAAGAAACAATGCCAGACAGGAGATACCCTTGAGTTGTTGGCTGGGGTGGCCCAAGAAACTCCCAGACAGTAACCTAGCATAGAACTTGGAAAATGAACAACAGACCCCAATCTTATCTAAAGGAATGTCAGCAACTGATTGCTGCTAGATGAGGAAGAGCTGATCTTCCTAAAACAAGGGACTCTAGATAGGCTGACTAGACTCAGCAGATGAACTAGCACTGGGGAACAGCTGGGGGCACTGACAACACAGTGGACAGTAACAGGGATGACAGAGTATATGGGATCCAGTGGGGCAGGGGGTCTATGGGAGGGTATCATTAGGGATGTGGGTATAAAGATGAATAAGACTGTTTGGGATGTTCTGTATGAAATACACACACAAAAAAAATCAATAAATAAAAAAAGTTATATTTTAAAAAAAAAGTAAAGGTAGACTATGCTTGAAGAACAATATCCAAGGTTGTCCTCTGGCCTCCACATGCATGTGCACACACACAAGAACCAATCATCTTTACCTACAAAAGGGTGCACCCATGCCCACACATATCCAAGGTATGATCCTATTTAGTGGCCACAATTGCTTATTGCTATGAATATTAATCTATCACTGTATCTCATGGTTACAGGCTGCCCCACCCACAATGGCTGGGTGAAGACATCATGTTTCTGGAGTATAAGTATGTTGCAGGTGTTTAGGATAGACTACAGTCCCAAGAAATGGGACTTTACTTCCAACTTCTATGAAGAAAGGCAAGCAGCATTCATTAGATGCTTTGGAAATATTTGTGTACGTATAGAGTCTACTAAGGCTAGCTGGGTGGGACCAGGACCTGTGATGGACAGGTTTGAGAAGGTAAAGTCAGCTTGAAAGGATGAAAGTTTAGTCTGGCAGCTCTCCAGAGGTACATGGGCACAAACATAAAAGCTTAAATATACACAAATATAAAAGTTCCTATATAATAAAATCAAATTATTTGTTCTAGTTGTTAGGGAAGAAGATAACTAGTAGTCTTTTTTCTTTTTATACTTCAACTCTCTACTCCTCCTTCAAGTTCTTGCCCTGTATTTGCATTACTAATACCACTACTAACACCACACTTGATTTCACACACACACACACACAGAGTAATCTTGGTGTTAACAGCCTGGTATGGCTGCTTTTGTTCTTTTTTACATCTTTTTTGTCTTTTAGTCAGACCCTTCTTCTAAAACTACTTTTGAATGTCTTAAAAGAGATGGTCAGTTGGAAATTCTTGGCAAAAAGTTAAGGAAATCAACAGATACCCTCCCTCCCTTTCTATTAATCCCAAATTAGCATGAGCCTCTGCTAACATCAGATAGCTAGATTTAGCTGCTGAATCCTGAAATTCTGCATTCTAACAGATCTGCCACAGTGGAATTCCCTCCTTTCGTTCATCTTCTCCAGTTAGGCTGTGGAACATTCCAAAACTGTGGGGGCAGAACCCTCCTGTGCTTCCCCATTGGCAGCCTGCAGGTTCTCGATCCTGCAACACCCTTGTTCATGCTGTAAGTGCCTCTCAGGAGGAGATTCTCCTGCCTGTTTTCCAGGTTATCCAACCTCTTAATACCTTCAGTCAGCTCCTTCTCCTTGTCCCTTTGCTCTAGCCCAGGCCATTATCAAGGCCACCACTGGATGGATGGTAATGTTCTCTTCCTAGGTGGTAGCTCCTGGATGATGGTAAGCTCATGAAATGCAGAACTCCTAAGAATAGCAACACTTAATTGAACCACAAAGTGACATAGTTGTTTCCATTGTTTTCACTATTAGTTCCTTCTGTGTCTTGAACCCATTTCTATTTTGCATTTATCATCAGGTATTATAATAACTGAAAGCATCTACCCTTGAGGTGGCTCCATGGCTTAACCTCCCAAGTGCTAGGATTACAGCTGTGTACCACCACCACACTTGGCTGCTTTCCATATTTTTTCTTCATTCTTCTACCACCTGTCCTTTCAACTTTGTCTTCTAAAACTTTTGAACCCCCTTGTTACTGCATGGTGTCTATCTAGCACATATTCAGTAAGGGTCAATGGGTCCACACAATCAAATGTGGGAGTGTTGCATTATTAGTATTCTTAGTGAAGAATGTTTCGTTGTACTCAAACTACATACTTTTAACAATACTTTCCCCCCCAAAGAACTTTACTTACCATGATTCTGTATACACACATGTACAAAATTTCCATTTTGGTGAATCAATATATCATTTATAGAAGGATACTGATTACTGGTCACATATGATTTAATCCAGAACAAACTAAGATGCCTTTGTAATACATAGGCAAATAGAAGAAAAGGCCATTTTCACTGAAAACAGTTGTCTTGGTCAGTTCTGTACTCGGTATCAAGAATGGTTAATCATTCAGGTGATTGTGTGTATTGCTATTGTATTTCTAATATTGACCCCTTACAGCTAAGAGACCTCAGAGTGATAGTACCCAGGAAAGCCCTGTTCTATCAATGAACAATTGCCATGTGGCCATCAGACTTGAATTGTTACACTAAGAACTTAGTGTTCCTGTTACGTGTTTGTGTCTGTTGTCTGTATCTGAATCCTTCTATAGGAAACTGGTACAGTGGTATTGAATATTTGTTTTGTATTTTCCACAGTCCACTGGAGGCCTCAACCAGATGTACCTCAATACCAACACTTGCTTATTTTACATCTTAACCTTCTATCAAAGTCTATTTGTCAGAATTCTGGTTTCTAGGGGAAAAGCATTTCTGGGTCAAACAAGTTGAGAGTCCTTGTATGTTCTATCTTCTTCCCCTTGGATATGCACAGTGAAAAGTCAATTGTCACTCGCCCCAAGCTTTTTGACCAGCGATCCCCACCCCCACTCCACCCCCCACACCCCACTTTCATCCTGCATGAAGGAAAAGAATCCAGTGTCTTCCCTTTGTGGAGATCTAGAAAACTAAGGCTCTTGCCACAGGTAGTAGAACCAGGCCCTGCTGGTGATGGTAGCCTCTCTCAGGATGTCTGCATCCTTACACTGACTGCAGTAGCCCCAAAAGGCTTGAAGATTTTTTTTTCCTTGAATTTATTTAAAGAATTGCATCTAACGCATTTAGGATCCTAGTTTAGAGAGATTTATCCTGGAGCAAATGGAAAATGTGCCAATTGGCCCGTTCAAATCAGTAGTACTCTATTCATTGACATCAGAAATGCAACCTGAATAGTATGTACCATTAAGAACAAAGTGCTCATGAAGTTCTGAGGCCCAGGAAGAGAGGACGCAATGAGCATTAAGCAAGCAGACGTGTAATTAATTACAAATTATTGCATGAAGAAAAGGGCTACATACTGCCAGATTGTTTAAATTTTGCAATCGTGTTTTAACTGACCAGATTCAGAAGGGCTCAATAACGGATGTTTCTAGGGTTATCTTTTGCTCAGCTCTTAGCTACAGTTTGGACCACGCAGTAGCCTATTCCCTTTTTTCTTTCAGCCCAGTGGTGCAAAATGACAGCGCAGTGAGCTGGCACAGCCTCTCTCCCAGCCATCCCGACGCCCACCATGAACCACTTGGAGGGCTCCACGGAGGTGGAAGTGACCGACGAGGCGCCAGGCGGAGAGGTGAACGAGTCCGTGGAGGCCGACCTGGAGCATCCGGACGTGGAGGAAGAGCAGCGGTCACCGCAGGCTGCGGGCCGGCACCCGCGTGGGCGCGCCGTCGAGGAGCCGCGCGCGCAGCTGGCGCAGCAGGAGGAAGAGGAGCGCGGGGAGAGCCTGGCGCGCTCGGCCAGCACCGAGAGTGGCTTCCACAACCACACGGACACCGCTGAGGGCGACGTGATCGCGGCAGCCCGCGAAGGCTACGACACGGAGCGCACACAAGACCCGGAGGATGAGAGTGCATATGCCGTGCAGTACCGACCCGAGGCCGAGGAGTACACGGAGCAGGCGGAGGCCGAGCACGCCGAGGCCGCGCACCGCCGCGCGCTGCCCAACCACCTGCACTTCCACTCACTGGAGCACGAGGAGGCCATGAACGCGGCCTACTCGGGCTATGTCTACACGCACCGGCTCTTCCACCGCGGCGAGGACGAGCCCTACGCCGAGCCCTACGCCGACTACGGCGGCCTCCAGGAGCACGTGTACGAGGAGATCGGGGACGCGCCCGAGCTGGACGTGCGCGACGGCCTGCGGCTGTACGTGCAGGAGCGCGACGAGGCGGCTGCCTACCGCCAAGAGGCCCTGGGCGCTCGGCTGCACCACTACGATGAGCGCTCCGACGGCGAGTCCGACAGCCCCGAGAAGGAGGCCGAGTTCGCGCCCTACCCGCGCATGGACAGTTACGAGCAGGAGGAGGACATCGACCAGATTGTGGCCGAGGTCAAGCAGAGCATGAGCTCGCAGAGCCTCGACAAGGCGGCGGAGGACATGCCGGAGGCCGAGCAGGACCTGGAGCGTGCCCCGACCCCGGGAGGAGGCCGGCCCGACAGCCCCGGGCCTCCAGCGCCTGCAGGGCAGCAGAAGGCCACGGGCCCGGCGGGTGGCGAGACAGGGCAGCGATACAGCAAGGAGAAGAGAGATGCTATCTCTCTGGCCATCAAGGACATCAAGGAGGCCATCGAGGAAGTGAAAACCAGGACCATCCGTTCGCCTTACACCCCTGACGAGCCCAAAGAGCCCATCTGGGTCATGCGCCAGGACATTAGCCCCACCAGGGACTGTGACGACCAGAGGCCGGTGGATGGAGATGTAAGTCCGTGTGGGTTCAGGCTGGCTAGAAGTCCAGGCTCACGGGGGAGGGGGTGTTCGAGCTCCATAGCTTTGAAAGACAATTTCATGGGTTAAACGGTCTGGGGGTGCGCTATGCACCCCCCGCCCATGGTAGACCTCAGAAACTGCTTGCACCCAGGCTCCTGTAAGTGGAGCGCCAGCGGGAGGGAGTTGAGTTGAACACTCCATCAGATCCACAGCAGCATCCCCAGAAATCCGTGCTTTCCAAATTGTAGCTGGAAGGCTTGAGAGTTACATTCCTGGACTCGTGCCTACCCCCACACATCCCTTCTGGTGCTCAGTGAGGTCTGAAGCGGGGTCCCAGGATTTGTATCAAGTGGGTGGATGTTGAGTAAGCAGAGACTTGCTTAGAGAGGATGTTTGCAAAAGGGAAGATAGACACGGGTCAAACAGAAGATCTTCAGGAGTTCTTAAGGTAAAGCAAAAGGGTCTTCTAAAGGAAGGAGAGGCCAAAGAACAAGGCATTAGAAATGCATGGGTCCCTGGTTTAGCACAGGGTGGGTGTCAGGATACAGTTTAAATCTGAGACCAGCCTGTTCTCAGGAAAAGCTGTGTGTGCCAAAGTTCAGGCGCCTAGGGGAAGAAGGGTAGCTTGATCAAAGTCAGTTTTATTAGGCATTTTGTTAACATTGGGCTAGTCACTTAAGAGACAAAGAGTGGGAATTTGGAGGGTCTGTATCTGGCCCTGTTGTGAATAAACAGGGCATCAGAAAGTCTTGTGGAAGCTGTGGGGAGGGGAGCTCTTTCCCAGAGCATGGATGATGGTGGAGATTTCTTAACATTTCTGTTTTCTAGGATGGCAGGGCCCAGTGTTACCACTAGCAAGTCCCCAAGTTCTACTGCTGGTCTGAGTGCCACAGAGAAACTGCCAGGAAGCTGTGCCTTAAAGGCATGGCACAGGCACTGTGACCTCTTTAAAGGAAATCATGGAAATTCCTCTGTCCTGCCAGGTTTTAGCAGGCACACACACACACATGCACACACACACAAACACACGTATGCTTTCCTCATTGAAGGAGTCAGTAAGCTTTTAATTGTCATACCTTAGAAGGCATGTTTTCCACTTAAAACCAGTCACTTGTGCTTCATTGTGAAGAGTTACACACAAGACTATTATTGCCTCTGTCAACATTTTATTTGCCATTTTTGAAACACCTAAGAAATTTGAGAACATGTCAAGCTCAGGTATCATAGTCTATTGAAAATAAATCAAGAAGACTAACTTTTGCACCTTTACCTTGCTATAAATTTTTTTTCTCTAACTTTTCTTTCTCTTCAGTAATTTCTAAGCAATTTCACTTAAAATTGGAGCTTGAAGTCAGAGAAAGTTCAAGGGGTTTTATTTAATTTGGTCCAGAAATTGGCCTCCTCATCAGTATCCTTAGTTGCTCCTTGAAATGACCTTTTGACCATTTGGCCCTGAAACTTCACTCTGAGTCCCCAAGAACAGAAAATGGTAGGACCCAGGACAGCTTTTATTCATTTGAACCAGGAGGACAACTTAAGCCTCTTGTACAATGTTTCATTCCAGACATAGAATTGATTTTAAAATATTGATACTTAGGACCATGGTACATCGAAAACTCAGCTTGATGCTAAGAAATTGGTGAGGAGGGCCTACCAGGTTATGAATAGTTAATAGAAAGCAAAACCAAAGACCTTTGCCATAAAATTTACCCCATCATTCTTAAGCCATTTGGATCTGTGGGTTGTATTTCATCTGCCATGCTATATTTATAGGAAAGACCTTCGTTTGCTCCCCTCTGATGATATTATTCCACCTCACTTCAGCATCAAGAAAGCATTTACTGAAATCTCATTCCATGCCAGCTGTTATAGAAAATGGAAAGGTGCTGTTAAAACCAGCGTGGTCTGCAGTCTACAGCAGTCCTGCTTAAAATGCAAATTACTGCCCTTCCTTTCTAAAGCTGACTGCCTGAGGTGGAGCCCACTGATCTGGTATTTTGTTTTTGTTTTATAAATTGTCCTTGAGATCTTAGGTGTATAAAAGGCTGAAAACCCAGACTGATTTGAGGGGAGATGGGTGTTATCTGGGCAGTTTCCCCTTGTCAGTGCTGTGGACTTGAGGCTTTACTTAAATCCTTAGTAACACACACAAGTTTCTCCAAGAGGAGCTGTACCTCTGTGATTATGATCAGCAGACCTAGAGGGCCCTGAAATTCTTATTACGAAGACAGTGCATTCAGAAATCAGCAAAACAAACCAGAAAGTACAAAGGGGCAGCCAGAGGGCACTGAGAACACCTGCATTACCACTTGCCAAGGGTAACTGCTGAAGTTAAGTCTGCTCTTCACACACTCGCTGGTTCCCTTTGAACTCCAGCACTTCACACGTGAAACAAACTGGATTTGTTTGCTGGAGGACAGAATAAAAAGATAGGATTGCTTATCCACATTAAAAAAAAATGTTTTCTGAAAATTTGGAAAAATGTGTATATGTACTTTTTGTCTAGTAAGGACTGTCTATTTTTCAGGTATGCTTGAGAGTTTCCTTCCAACCCACCACTTGAAAAATATTCATAGCGATGACCTGTTCTGTGAAGTTCCCTGTTCACTCCTCTCTCTCTCTAGGCAGCATAGTCTCTCAGAACAGTCATAATGGAGTCCAAGATGTTAGCCAGCATACACGTATGCTGGAAGATGGAGCGATTTTGAATGGTGGGGTTGCAGGCTGAAATGGTGCTTCCTTCTGCTTTCTCCTAAAACTTCACTGAATAATCATATAAAAAAGCAGAAAGAAGAAACAGCAGAAGATGAGAATAATAGAACATGGTTAACTTTTGGTAACTGTGTTAGACATCTCTGTGCTCTGCCATGTTTCCAGTTCTCTTTCAAATACAGCAAGTTTGCATTTCCTCATTCCCTGGAAACTTCTAGGGGACCTGACCAGTGACATATGTGCTCTCAAGTATGTTGCTATAAGGCAAGAACAGCAGGGACTACTCCTCCTTCTCAAAGTGCAACAAACCCAGAAGCCTCTTGGTAAGAGAGTGGTGACTCATGTGAGACACTGTGCTATTAGAGAGGAAGCAACCTGAGGTACTTTAAGGTCATAGGAATTTGGGGGGTGATTTGTTACCACTGTGTAGCCTGGTCAGTACTGAATGATAATACACTGAGGAGGTTTCTGTTTCCTCTTTTGTACCAAGAATTTGTGAAGATTGAGCAAAAACATTCTAGAAAGGCACAGGAACTTGAAACACTACATGGTTCAGGTGGCAAGAATATGAGGATGTGACTGAGAAAGTAAGTGGCTGAGATTAGACCTCCCGGTGCCTCTAGTGTGTGCAGCCAGTGATTCCATCCCACAGATGTGTGACTTCTACAAGGACACGGGGTTCAAGAGCGGTGTGTCACTGGGGACAGCAGCCAACTGAGGACCTTGAAGAACACAGAGACTGGTAATAGTGTAACTGCAGAATGCTTTTGAACTTGACATTGTGCTTTGTTCTGAGGCACTCTGGTTTCACGCTGTAGCCCAGGCTGCCTTAGAAGTCACTGTGTTACTCAGGCTTGCTTTGAACTAGTGGCTGCCCTCCTACCTCAGCCTCCTGAGTGCTGGGATTCTAGATACGTACCACCATGACTGGCTGACTGCCTTAGAATTCTTAGTTGTCAAGCTTCACACGCACGCCAGCCAGACTCAGTTCCCTGGTAGATTAGAGTATTCCTCCCTGAGGAGACAGGCCCAGGGGAAGGTGTCTGCAAATACCAACACTGATGTTTGGGAGTGTCTGTCTGCTAACCCCACAGGCAGGTTCTTGCCACTTAATGGATCTTCCACTGCAAAATATGAATACAGCTAGGAATTTCCAGGTATTTGAAGAATATCTCTAATATGAAAGATAAAGAAAGGAAAAAAAGCCAATGGAAAGAGGCCCATGGAGAAATAAAGGCAGTGGTTAGAGCAAGTGAGAATATCAGACACAAATAATCAGTTTCAGAGAAGCAGAAGACCTCTATCAAATTAAAGGATAATGCCATTTAGAAAAATTCTTTAAAGAGAAACTTTAAAAACAAGTTACCAGAGATTTTAAATTAGAAAGAGGAAATGCCTCAATAGAAAGTTTAGAAGACAAAGTTGAAATGAGAGGTATGATAAAAGAATGAAGGCAAAATATAGAAAGTAGCCAGGTGTGGTAGTACACAGCTATAATCCCTGCACTTGGGAGATGGAGGCAGGAAAATACTGAGAGGTCATCCTCAACTACACAGGAAGGTCAGGGCTAGGCTCAGCTACATGAGAACCTATCCCCCTCTCCAGAAAAGACAGAGAAAATGTATATAAGGAAGGTAACAGGAAAAATAGATAAAAGGGTAAACAATCATGAAAGAACATTTCCGAAGCCAAAGTACATGCCAATACTGCACACTTACCTAGAGCGATAAATGAGACTTGAAAATTTCAGAGCATAGGGGACAAAGAGACTCTGTAGGTCTTGGAGAAGTAAAAAGAGGTTACAGATGATCAGGGGCCACAGTGGCCTTGGCCTTCCCCAAAGCAGCCCTGAAAACTGAGGATTCTACCCCCAGTCAAACTTCCACTGCTCATGTAGGTGGAATGCAAAGGTTTTCGGATATACACGGTCTCCAAATTGACTTTTGTGCAGCTCAGGGAGCAACTTGATTACTGCTGTCCTCAAGCAAGAACACAGACCAGGAAAAGAACTGAGAGACATAGGAAGCAAGGTCTCCACCACAGGAATGAGAGGAAGGGTGTCTCCAATGGAAGAGGAGATACTGGAATAGCTGATGTGCAGAAGACCAAGGCGGCAGCCAACCCAGAGCTTCTAGGGCCCCATTAGGAGGCATCTAGAAAGAACAGAAGAGAGACTCCTAATGAGCATAGTGGTAGACGTTAGAGATGGTTTAGAGATGATCTGGCACACATTGTAAGCCAGCATATGGAAGACTAAGCAAATCAGAAAACAATTCTAA